AAACCAAGAAACGTAGACTCTTGGTATTCATTACACATAAACTAGCGAGCCCCAGAATGAGAAACAAATTTTAATCATTATTATTGACGGATTAGTAAACTTTTTACACGCTTTGGAAAATCTCAGAGGTTCGCGGTAGTCACTTTTCGGTAAGGAACTAGGGGACTCGGTTATTGTATCGAGGGGGGGGGTCGAAACGATCGCAAAGGCGGTATACTACGTATACGCGCCAAAACTACAGTTCTGTATTGTTTGCAAAAAGTAGAAAAATGACGGGGTATCTTACGGTCTCTGCCATTCGTGCTAAGGAAAAACACAGTTTGCGCCTTCAGACATCGCCAAGTTTCCTTCGATAAAATATAAATGTCCAAGGAAACCTGTAAATATTATTCGCCCAATTTTCAGAGAATTTTATTCACGACTTTATCTAAACTATCTAAAAATTGAAGAGAAAATATTCATGTCTTTCCTCATAATAATAATAAAAAAAAAATACATATCATCGGAAAAAATTTGGCAACTTTCGAATGTTCATAGAGAGTTTTTCCCTTGGAACGGCAGTTCTGCTCTCGATCACTGCGCTGCCCCCCTCAGACGATTTGTCATTTAGATGAAGACGGCGTTAGGATACAACTATTCCAGCTCGAAGGTTGTCCGCGTTGCATATGCACGACATTGAAGGCGCCTCAGCTTTCTTCATTCTCACAACGAAGTGCACATGGTAAATTGCCATGAAGAATTGGTAGCGATGAGCACCGAGGAGCCAACTTACGCGCTACATTATTTTGCAACCCTCTTTTCACAGTGCAGTGCGTACTCACACAATTCAAACAATTCAAAATCATCTGTGAATTCAGGCTCTTTTATGAAATACATTAGATTATTAGTTCTCCATAATGTGCAGCTTGGAGCAGTTCAGTTTTATCTAGATCTACTTCAGTTAGTTAGTTAATTTTTATGAGAGATATTTGGCAACTAAGGCTGAAGATATCTTCACAGAAAATAGGAAGGGTGAGTACAAGTACAAACATTTAAATTTGGGTATTTTATTCATTTTCAAAAATTTGAAAATTCATCTTTGTTGATAAGACGCGAAATAATTAAAACTGGAATGGATTTACGTGATCAGCTGTTGTGTTAACAAAATTCAGTGATGCCCATATCGAAGGAGGAAAAGGCGATAAGTTAATGTCACTTCCCACGGTGATCGACCAATGATCTATTAATCGACCCAATAAAGACACGGCCAGGAAATTGACCAATCTCACACCTCCATCTCAGCCCAGTCTTACCCTGCTTTATCGACGAAAGTTCAATGATCGCTCGGCAAATGACTTTTAAGCAGACTTCCGACTCGTGGTCCGTGTTAGACTATTCGTGTCATCAACATATGATTCGATCAATGTTAAAGCCCAGCATTTCCTTTTTCTAATGAGAATTCCTATACTCAGGGGCTTTTCAGATAATGGACATGTTCGGTTTTCGCATTGAACGATCCGTGTGAGTGGAGGTGAAAATAAGGGGAAAATTTCATTCCCAAATCGTAGCCGCAGCTCTCGAGATGAGAAACTTAAATTGGAAATTGGCGCGCTCTGAAGCGTCATAACTTGAGCGAAGTTTGAAGAGCCTTCATTCTTGAGCTGTGGCCGGGACTAAAGCGTCTAGCAGCGTGTGATCGGAGATCGGGAGGTGGCCATTTTTACTTGGAAGTTGGTGCGTGTTCGGGAGGAACGCGTAATTAGTCCTTGAAAAGTTGAACCGTGTGCCCAAGGTTTTGCTGGAAAAAGCAGCGAACCGACTGCTTGCCACGGTATTTGACAGGTGATTTTGCGAACCACCCAGTCGCCTCAAGGCGCGGCGCTTCAAAGTTTTCCGGTAAAATTGAATGAAAGAGAAGGACTAAAAACGCTGCACATTAGCAATTTTGATAGCGTTTAGTGATTGAATCTTACGTGGTAAGAAAAAGTAACTGATATTTTTGTTGATAGGGAACTAGATTACAAACTATCCCAAGCGCACACATATGCAAATTTAGACTCTTCAAACGCGTGGAAGAAGGGACTGGAGGGGCTTCCGCATGCAAGAAAATTTCCGAAATTTTAGACCATTTAATGCGAGTTGGAGTCAATTTCGCCATGAATATTTCCCAAATTAAAGCGTGCTTCCTCCTTTTTTCCTCAGTCGCTTTCTCCTTCCTTTCTTTCCTTTTTCTCCCTCCTTTTTTCGGGCAGACGGTGGGGGGCCTCCGATCCCCCCCCCCCCNCCCCCGCCTTTGGATCCTTATATGAACACGTGGTTAATATTGTCTGGTTTGAGTCCACGCCAAAGAAATTTACGCACCCATTTCAAACTGCGACAGAAAATCATCTGACGTCATTTTAGCATAAGAAGTAAATGCAAGAATCAATATGGCAGATCTTCTGTCGTATTCTAAAGGAGCTTAAACTTATTTGGCGTGAAATTCAGTTTGATCCATGAAAGTTATGCTAAAAAGCATTGAGAACTCTAGCTATTTTGCTTTCTTTTCTTTTGTCTTCCTTTCTCATGTTTTTCGAGGTGAGTTACAGAGGTGATGGACACAGACGTTGACCGTAAGTTATGCGACCTCAGATTCAAGTATTTGAGTGTTTTTCTTCCTAGCTAAATTCCTGTCTATTGCGTTGAAAAAGTTACTTGAGTTCGACCTTTTCCCCCTCAAAAATGTCCTCAAACCAGCGGAGCGCGTACATACGATACTGAACTAACAGTAAATGTCGAATGCAGCACACATTTCGATCGGACACGAGGAAGTTCCCTCGGGGCCGCAATTAGAGCCAACACATAGACATATTTTCCGCGAAACTCGCCCTAAGTAATCGTTTAATTTCCAGGCTGTGATTGCTCTTATTTATGAGCTTCGGCCGAGGAGAGCGTCGTTAGCTTGGCCTAGAATTTAGATTCATACTTAATGAGTGTGAATGCGAGTGTTGCGGAAGGCGAAGAATGGGGGATGACCGGGGGTGGGGGCGGGAAGGGGTGAAGTATGTAGTGTGGAATCAGCCGGTAGCTCGGTGTTAACTTAACCGCGACCATGGGATCGTCGTGCGCGGGGCAGGAGCTTCCCGGCTCCGGTCTGATTTACGGCCCTCAACTTCATTATTTAGCCCGAAACTCGACGAAATTAACTTTAATTCGTAATTAAATCCAAAGGTCTTCTTATTTTCGGTCCTCGTGTCTTCGCGCCCCCGGACCCGGGCTCAAGGTCTCGGCTACCCCTCCAACTACCGCGCCGGGACGAGCCGTTACCGGGGCCGTTTATTACTCGGCCGCTGTTGCCATTTTTCAATGATTCACCCGTCGTGTGTGAATCTACCTCTACATGTGTGAGCTTGAGACTGGCGTGCTAAGGAAGAACGCCGTATGAACATTCGAGAGTTGCCAAATTTCCCGTGATAAACTATGTATTTTTAACAACATTCATACAAGTTTTTCCTTAAAATTGTCGGATATTTTAATTGCGTAGAAAATCGTCTGAAAATTTTGGAAAATAATCTTTGTAATATTCCCAGTTAATTTGGTTTCCATCGAGGGAAACTTGGCAACGTCTGAAGGCTCATACGGCGTTCTTCTTTAGCACGGCAGAGGAGGTTTCCTGCGTTTTGGGTAAAAAATCCTCACGCCCTCCCACGGGATCGGACTCATGGTCGTTCAAAAACAGCTTCTTTCCTCAGGAGGCTCCACTTGGGTTACCATGTGATTAAGGGAGGTTTAAGGAAGTCCTCGGAATAGCATCAAAGGGGCGAGTTTTGTAAACCTTTAGTAAAATTCAGCAGTATAACTTTGGAATTGGATCCTTGAAAGGGATTTCAAATATTCCCGAGTACAAAAAATACGGAACACAAAAGAAAATATACAACCAGTTTTGTAAATTTTAAGGTGAGTTCGTACACTGAATAAACAACTCCCGCTGTGGAAACCGTACTTACGGGTTATGTAGACATATCGTCCGCGTTCCGGGCTCAGAGCCCGAAAGTTCCGGGCGTAGCACCCGGACCAGTTGAAGCTACGTCTCCAGCACTCGGAACTTTTGGCCTTTGAGCCAGGAACGGACGGTATGTCTATACAGCTCGTAAATTTTTTTCAGTGTATCTACTTTACGGTTTGCCAAATCATAGAATTTTTTCTTCCGGAATCTGTACGTCTTAAATTTTATCTTACTTACAAAACATCAGTGCTCACAAATCTCTGGCCGCAATAATTCCATTTATTATTTAGATGAGCACCTACAAGACTTCCTAACTATATAATTTGGTTATTAGTTTGATAACTGCGGATAAAATCTGCCTTGGGGCAGGGGTAGAGAAAGAAAGAGCGTGAGAGCGGAGAAACCGAGACATAAATCTTGTCGATTGTTTGGATGAAACAAAAGAAAATTACTCAAAAAGAGAAAAGAGATTGAAATTTACCTCAGCCGGAAAGACGTAGCCATTTATAGCATGCTCTGAGCCTTTGTCGTCTTTCATTCCATAGTGAATATGGATTTCATGGAAGCGATATCTATAGGAGAGGGGTCCTCCGGTTATGTTCACAGCCACGTGGGAATCATTACCAGCTTGAAAAATAATGCTATGGCCAGTATTGATCATTTTTCCATCAATCTGAAAAATATTTAAATTCAAACATCTATATTACATGAATTGTTCACACCAACCTTTCAAGAAAACAATTCAAATGAGAGTCAAAGAATGGAAAAGAATTTAAAATCAAACTAGAGTGCATTATGAGTGCAAACATTTCTTTAAAATATCACCATTCTTTTCAGTATAAACACATGATGATAGGTTGGTAGATTAGTGCTAAGTCCACACTATTATTTTGGATGGAGATCATTGTTAAGAAATTACTGTGATATTTTGGGTTCATGGAGCTCTTCTTCTACCGTATAGGCTATATGGTATAGTATATATGAATCTGACACTTTAAGTGGATCAGAGATAATAATATCACAGTGACTTACCCGGTGAGTATCTACATAAATTTGACCTAAATTAGGATCAAAAAGCAATTTCTTCGGATCTAAATTGATCGGTGACTGCCTTGCTCCTTTGAAACATAGGTTCCAGTTTGGGTTGAAACGACCCCACCAATCAGGACCTAAAACAACGAAGGAAAACTCGATCAATAATCAAAATTAAACTATTAAAAGGGTTACAATTATTCGAAGAAATTTAAATTGTTATAAATAAATATTCAGTTTTCCTCTTCCTAGTTAAAATGAGCCCTAATTAGTAAACATATCCGACCATCAAACCATGTATCTCGTTTGCGGTGATTTTGAATTTCCCGCTCCAATTTTATTTTAAACAGGTGAACAAATCAATATCATTCCTTGAAGTTTTCACAGAAATTTCTCCACATAGAGAGGAAAAATCATGGTGGTTTTTAAAAATGGTTTTTCAGAATAGCCGTTGAGCAGTTTCTCTGCTCAAAAAATAAAATACGTCTGAAAGCAGGCGACGTCGCACACCGAGATACGTGGTTTGGGAGTTTCACCGTCAAAATTTGACTGCAGACCTGATTTATTAAAAGAAGGTGACAAATGAACAGAATACACACTTGTTCAACAACGAGCCAAGCAAAAAAAACGGTCACGTACATGTCAATGTAGGTGTATCCTGTATCCCATTCATCAAAATTATCGTTCTCAAAAGTTAATTTCGAAAGCTCTGAAAAACAGGCTTTTCTGTTTTCGGCTGGGATTCTGAAACTTCAGTGAATTTTAAAGGCCCATACTTATAATGTCTCCGGCTTTCAAATAAGTTTCAGAAATGCGCCACTTAAATGTCAGGCTGCGTAACATGAGGTGTGGAGCTCAAAGAAAAGACTTCATCCGAAATCGACTTCAGTGGGAAAGGCACTGTGCCGAGCAGAGCTAATGACGTGTTACCTTCTGTTGAAATCATCAAGCCTTAGTTTCAAATTCGAAACAAACTTTCTGAGCATTAAATGCTGCCGGACTGTGAACTCTTAAGTTCTAATTTACAATCCACACACTGTGAGTTAAAAAAATAATGAGCAAGACGACAAAAAATAAATCAGGGGGAAATAAACCGAGGCTACGATAGTGTCTTTCTTCGCGTATCCAGTCAGGTTGGACACAAAAAAGTTTTTTCAAAAGCATTGCTCAAGCTTTTCAGGTAATTCAAGTGGAGATCAGTTCGTTTTAAATTATAAATATGGGGCTATGCCCCCTGACCGCTTAAGCGCTTCGCGCGCCAGACGTTCTGCATTACGTGTTACGGATATGATTATAGATGATGATGACTTATGATGATTGATTATGAATAGATGATGATGACTTATATGATGATTGATTATGAATGGATGATGATGACTTATGATGATTGATTATGATATGATTATGATTATGATTATGAAATATAGAAGAGCTATAGATTAAGATTTGAATGGTGTCAGAGTGAATATGTGTGACGATTGTGAAATCAATGAGACGAGAAGCTGAACACTGAAGTAGAGATTTGTGACGCCAATTCAAGAAACTCAAGACAAATGGTGTCAACGATGAGGATTTTTGAGAAACTTTGAAATTTCTCGGAAGTATAATTGAGAAAATAATTTAACACACACACCGAATTTGACACATTTTTATTAGGGCAAATGTACCCTTGTACCCATGTAAAACGGGATGTATTGAGTTTTGTTACGCAAGCAGACTCACAATTTTTATGGAGACCAATTCGTCGTCCCTCAGACATGAGGGTGTATCTCTTTATCCACGTGAGCCTTGTTCTCCATATATCTCCATGCTTTTCAGCGCTCACCCGGCGATAGAGATACGCCCTTGTTAGAAGGAGCGACGCATTGTGAAATTTTGCTACATCTTGTCATTAAAAACAATTTAATAATAGATGTTTATTAGTTCTAGTTATTTTCAGTTGAACATTATTGTTGATATCACCAGCCTTCACACTAAGCCACGAAATAAAAATCCGCTCTAAATCAAGTATGAACGTTAGCCGCTTATGCTATGGGAGATCGGCTTGTAAAAAATTAAAGATTTTTGCTTTAGATATTATCCTCTACAAACAATTAATCCATTCTTTTGTACGTCCCGTAACTGCATATCCTATTTTTTCAGTGTTTAAATCTTTGTGAAATCGAAATTTCTCTTGATGACAGAGTCTCTTGCAGTGGGGAAAATTGGCAACGGGCCCGCGGCTTGCCCTGATACCCGCCTTCACCGCAAAAGCAAGGGCATGCGTATCGACTTCAACGCGGTCAGAGAGTAAGCCGTTCATGGAATTTCTGGCTTCAGTCGGTATGTTTTTGAGATAGGAAATTTCATTAAATTCTATTAAATGCGTATCATGAAATGACATGAAATCTTGTCAGATGAATCTGTTGTACACAAAAGGTACACATAGATGAATAGCCATTTAAAAGATAAAACCCTCCAAAAATAACGATGAACGCGTTAAAAAGGACTGAAATCCACCCTGTGAATTTGTACTTCGACGTTATTACTCAAAATAATTTTCTATCGTGGATTTTCAAGTTTTCATACTTACACGCTGTATATTTAGGTCTACAAATCCATCGCAGAAGAGAATCAGACATCAAATTGAAAAAAATA